GGAAAAGAAAAAATAATGTAGTCTGATTTAATTAGATGAGAAGAGATGAGAAATAGAACTAAACTGATAGATATAAAGTGGGGCTGGTTAGGGGTGCTGTGTGTGTGTTGGGGAGGAAGATTTGTATAGCATATTGGGAGCTTGTTTTGGAAACAGTGAAGCTGTTTATAATTAAATAATGGGTAAAGAAAGAAAAAGGGGTTAAACGGGGTTGGGGTGAGGGGGTGGTATGGAAGCATTGAGGGGGGCAAGGCAGGCTGAGCGAGTGCAGTAACTGAGAGGCAGTAGTAAGCTTGGTTCAGTGGCCTTGACTGAGGGGCTACGGGCGGCCTTGACCGTGGAGTTTGTTATGGTTGGTGATTGAGAGGTGGCGGGGGTCGGTGGTGGCTGGAGGCGCGCGGACCTCGGAGGAGACAGTAGTTGTTGGGAGGTAAAGTTGGTGTGAAATAATAAAGGAATAGAGAGGCGCGCGGACCTCTGAGAAGACAGGTGGTTGGAGAGAGAGGTGAAGTTATAGATGGCTTGATAGTGAGCTGAAAGTGGATCGAGATTGCTAGGTTGAGAGGTGGGCGCGGACGTCGGAGAGGACAGTCACGCACATATGGTGAATTTGGAGTGACATACCTATCCGTGAAACAATTTAGTAATGAAACAATAGGCGAGAGCTTTCAATACAACTGAAAGCTCATGACAGGTAATTCATGACAGATGGTCGGATTGGGGTGTGCTGATAGTTATAGCCCGGGAAAGCCACTTTTAAGAAAACAAGAGTTGAAAATGGTGTGGTTCAACCGGCAATGGGTATGGTTGAGTGATCGTGTGAATGTGGGTCTCCCGGCAATTATTATGAGCTAATCCATGTTACCGTAAATAATGCAGATTTTTAAATATCGCTCTAAATTAGCCGAATTAAGTCAAAATGAGCTGAATTTTGTGTCTTGATGCTTATAACATACTTTCATTCATTTACAACCTCCAAAACATGGAAAAACATGTCTTTTGAGTAAAAGTAAATATTCTCGCCCATGGGCCAAAATGTTTTTCGGCCATGTGCGAGATTTTTTAATATGGCTCTAAATTAGCCGAATTAAGTCAAAATGAGTTGAAATTTGTGTCATGATACTCATAAACATACACTCATTCATTTACAACCGTCAAAACATGTCTTTTGAGTAAAAGTAAATATTCTCGCCCATGGGCGAGATTTTTTAACATCTCTCAAAATTAGCTGAATTATGTCAAAGTGAGTTGAAATTTGTGTCATGATGCTTATAAACATACACTCATTCATTTACAACCTCCAAAACATGGAAAAACATGTCTTTTGAGTAAAAGTAAATATTCTCGCCCATGGGCCAAAATGTTTTTCACCCATGTGCGAGATTTTTTAATATGGCTCAAAATTAGCCGAGTTAAGTCAAAATGAGTTGAAATTTGTGTCATGATACTCATAAACATACACTCATTCATTTACAACCGTCAAAACATGGGAAAACATGTATTTTGAGTAAAAGTAAATATTCTCGCCTATGGGCCAACATATTTTTCGCCCATGGGCGAGATTTTTTAACATCGCTCTAAATTATGAAGTTGAAATTTGTGTCATGATGCTTATAAACATACACTCGTTCATTTACAACCTCCAAAACATGGGAAAACATGTATTTTGAGTAAAAGTAAATATTCTCGCCTATGGGCCAACATATTTTTCGCCCATGGGCGAGATTTTTTAACATCGCTCTAAATTATGAAGTTGAAATTTGTGTCATGATGCTTATAAACACACACTCGTTCATTTACAACCTCTAAAACATGGAAAAACATGTCTTTTGAGTAAAAGTAAATATTCTCGCCCATGGACCAGCATATTTTTCGCCCATGGGCGAGATTTTTTATATGGCTCTAAATTAGCTGAATTAAGTCAAAATGAGTTGAAATTTGTGTCATAATGCTTTTAAGCATACACTCATTCATTTACAACCTCCAAAACATGAATTTTGAGCGAAATTAAACATTCTCGCCCATGGGCCGGTCCATGGGCGAGCGAGTTTAAATTTTGAGTTTTCGAAAAAAACGTTTTTCATTTTTGATTTGAGTAGGGAGTCACCTGGTCAGCCAATGCAAAATGCGATACCGAGTTTTGCACAAACTTCGTTTGACTACCTTCAACCATAGCTATGTTCAAGGGTGTGCACAGGCAAGGGGATACTGGAGGCTGTAAACGTTGTCAGGATTGTTTAAACTCAATGGTCGCAGAACAAGAGAAAGTGCACAAAATGAGAAAGAATGAGTTTAAGAATATATCAGTTCTCCTTTTGAAAGTGCTGTAAAGTTCAGGAACAGTAGGGGTCCAAGTCCAAAAGGATTAACACGTAAGGCACACTCATTGCGTAATTGGGACTTCACAAGTTTGGACAACTCTGGAGATAAAATTGCCCTTTGGGGCTAAGTTCCTTTTCCTAAGTTGAAAGGTCGTTTCAACCCAAGTCGTTTCACCCGGGTTGTTTCATCCCGATTCCAAACTAGGTCAATTCATCCTACATTAGGAGTCGTTTCACCCCTAATCAAGAGTTGTTTCACCCCAACTAATTGAGTACACATGGAGAATGGTATTAATGCTTAAATCTGTTAATCCCAATTAGGCATTTAACAATCAGGTAAATGCTACTGTGTCTGTGTTGAGATGGCACCTCGGACTTAAGCTTATAATAGATTATCTCATCTAATCTCATCTCACCTCATCACGCTTAAAACTTGAATGAACATTTAGAAAAGTCGACATTGAGTTAGATATTAATATACCCTGCATTTTTTGCCATGGCGACTGCATATTTTGAGATCTGCCTCAGCTGCAAGAAGAGAGTAAGACCGCGTCAAGATGGACTGCAGTGTGAAACTTGTCATCGCCATCAACAGGGAATATGAGGCACAGGTAATACTTAGTCGTTACAACTGTTTGATAAGAATGTAGCATGCGAGTTAGTACACAGCCCTTGATAAATAGTGTTTAAATATCCAGTCAGTAAATATAATCGGTAAATTGTTATTCAATAAACTGAAGATTTACTTGTCTACAGTGTCTGTGTAGGAATACTTTCAACCAACAGGAATATCAAGAACTAATTACCAGGTAATGTGTCGTGAAGCAAATGACAGCCGATCTTGTGATGCGTGTTCGCAAGCCCGTACTGACAGTTCCTTCGTCAGACCCGCAGCAGAGAGCTTAATATTGGAAGAAGAGATGGATACCCAAAGGGCTAAGGTACAAAGATCTTCAGTTAACTTTATTATTGAAAGATGGACATTGTGAAAGGAAAGTACCTAACGTTTTCATGTGATACTTATTGACAGGCTGATGACAGCATGACAGAGATCTCAAGAGCTACCGATGAACATCAAACCTCTGCTGCAACTGATCCATCAGCTACTCTGAATGACTCGTTTGACATCACAACACCCACTACAGACATCCAGGAGGTCATTGAGAAATAAGTGTTTTTGAAAAGATTTTAGATATATACTTTATCATATTTTTGTCTCATGTCACATATATATATAATATTGTCTGTGCATATTTTGGTCCATTCCTAGAGCCATCGATGACGGAAACCTTCATTGATCTTGCGGACGTGCGGCATCAAGAACAAGACAGACAGGTGCTATGTATCTGTTTTATAGAGTTTGCGATGTCTTTGCCGCAAGAGGGGCATACACTCACCAGTCTGATCCCGGTGTTTGGAAGAACACAAAACTATATGCTGCAGTAAGTAGATTTGTTTGTAAAGAAAGTATAATTTCAACATGCAGTCAGGACCAATAGTGATAATTTTGTTCTTGTGCCACTCTTCATAAAGTCAGGCTGGTCAAGTGAAAATCCAAGTGTGCCTGGTTCAGAGTGGTCTTCTATCAAGATACAAGAGACAGAAATTCAACAAGATCCACGAAATGTTTCTTCACCTCTGGACAGCACACAGACAAGGAACGCTCCACAAGTTCATTCCTGTCAAAGTCAGTTACTTGCTATTGCCGATCCAACACAGCCAAAATGAACTGATATAATTATTCATACAATCTGAATATGTTGTTTCGACACTATACATAGATAAATATAAAAACTTGAAACAATTTTATAGTTGATTATAGTAACATTATAACAACCGCTAAATGGGGAGAAAGAACCTGGGTGAAACGACATGGGTTGAAATTGTGCTGGGGTGAACAATTTTTTTTTGGTGATATGGCTGAATTATGTCCGAATTGTTACTCTGCTTTGTTGCTGTCGGTACGTCTGACGTCGTAAGGTCACCCCCAGCTGATGTCAGGACACAATCCAAACAAACATGACGTCTCATGATAGACTCGGATACAGGGCAATAGCTCAATATGAAGTACGCCTAAGACAAATGTTTCAGATATTGACTGTTGTCCCTCTACAGCGGACACATTACACTCCTCTTGACGTAATATGTGTTAAGGCGCCAATCCGGCTAATCTTGTAATGTCGGGATATGTTTCTGATAAACGAGGACAGTTTATCGACGACAGACTTAAAGAATGACTTCATAGGAAACACCGGTTATCACACCAAGACACTTCATGTCCATTGCCAAATACAACCTACGCACCATGTGAAAACACACTGGCGTGTTGACTTCTCTATATCTGATGCAGTCGGTGACATGAAATCTAAACTGAAATCAAATATGTTGCAGTTCAAACATTCCCTATCAGCTATCAGTGAAAGTAAACATGTAGTAAATTACACTCGCGGAAAAGAAAGATGTCCTTACAACTGATTAATCAAGTGACAAGACCAATACCTATGTATTAAAGCATCTAATGTGCACGTAGTTGTATTCCACTGTGGGTTGTGCCGTGCAGCAATGTATTAGGGCCACATGTAGAACAGGGCTGCTGTGTATGGCTACGTGTGAATGTAACCCGATGAAAGGTCTAGCAGTATTCACAATCTAACGTAACAATCGTATTGACTGAGTTACCTCGGATAGCGAGAGTCGGGCACCTTCCTGTTCAGGGGTATGAGGTCGCTGGCCAATATATTCACCCGGTACTCTGATAAATACTTCTCTACTGTTTCCTGTTCTTCGCCAACAAAGACAACACCTCGCCCATTCTCCCCTGTCTGGGACATGTCATTTTGGCCATACTTAGCAATTAGGGGATTCGGGGTGGTGCTGAGTCCAGCATGTCCGTCAATCTTTACCACTTCAGGGTGTATGTCCCTGTCTTCAAGTAAGTTCTGCACAAATGTTTTTGACCTTTGGGTAGAAAATGGTGGCGATATCAGGACCAGCACGACACACACTCCTAACACAAACAAAATACTTAGTGGCACCCTGACGATGAAACGCATGACAGCTACCTGTGGTTTTTTTACAGGACATCCAGGTTTGTGTCATAAAGTCGTGGGGATGCAGTTGACCGTTCTACTCTCAAAGAGGTTCGTAAGCTTACACCTGCCACTGTGTCAGTCAATTGCTATCTTATCTCAACTTGCTTCAAGTACTTCAAGTGAATCAATCCAGAAGACAACCACACAGAGAGAATCGTTGGGCTGGGCTGTAGGTACTTTGTTCAGGTCCATACATCAGGTCAACCCAGTAATTTGATCACTCTACGTCGACGTTTCGGACAGCTGGTCAGAACCCTGCAGAGATATCGAGTCTCGTCGCTGACTGGCTGTGTGTAGTATTGTAGAGGGGCTCACCTACACCGGTCCCCACGCGCGCTTCCCGATTTCAAGTACACTGCTCGCCCCTTCAGTGATACAGTGGCACTACCGGTCCTAGTAGGGGTTAAACGAGAAATAGACGTGGTATGCTACTCGGAGTTTGCTACGGATCATGTTTTTATGATTTACGATACAATTCATCAAACAAACAATAACTGAAACATCCCGGGACACAATGTTTGGGCAGATCTTATGGGACTTCACTTTTCAAGTTAATGATGGGACATGCAATCAAGGGCTTTTTGGATGTATCGTGACAAACTCGTTGCATATTATTATCAGATAGCAGGCGCGCAGCAAGTCAATTGTTTCGTGTAAGCCCGATAGGTTGCAAAGCTATGTGTATATATTTAGATAGTATTGAGGCTTTGCCCAACCTTTTTTGCAACATTAATGTGTAAGCCCGGGCTTTATTCTACAACAGTAGCTACGCCCCTGGATAGTTCACAGTATTTGCTACAGAGGATTGCATCAAGTACTGCACTTGTGCTCTCTCAGCGTTTAGACGTCGTTTGACGACCGAAAAACTGGGCAGATCCGGATCATGTGCATGCTTCAAACTTGGTCAGCATAACATCACATTGCAAACGTCTTTGGTGTCACCTAAAGTGTGACCAAATTGCATATTCGTCTCCGTTAGGCTGGTCTCAGGCACCACAGGCAGGTACATTTGTATTGGGCTGAACATATAGTCCACTCCAGAAATCAGAACTGGGTGCTCCAGTACTGATGAATTGAGATTCTATCTACATGTATACTTCACAGATCGCAGACAAAAAGTCACTATTCCAGCCGCTACAGAGGGGGCTCGAACAAGGAATGGAAAAAAGAGCTGGCAGGTTAGCTGGAAGAGCCAGTACTACTTGTATTATAGGATGAAGTCAGTGTGAGTGTGCACGTGCGTGCGTGCGCGTGCGCGCTACGGGGATGACATTGTGGATCTGTGAGACTGTATGCTGGTGTCATACGTTCCAGTTTGGTCAGATTTGGACGGATTGTCTGAATGCGTATTGCTTATACGTTTATTGGCATTCTGTAACAAGTGACAGCAGACATTTTGTTAAACACGTCTACACGCAACGTTGTCTTTGGCCATTTCAAAAGATGCACGCAGTTTGACGCATAACATTTCAAAGGAGTGATCCTTGGCAAACTTTGAGTAGTGTCATAGTTTGAGGGACTGTTTTCCAATGTTCAAGTGTATTCTTCGATTGCCCGGAGTTACTACATGCCTAACTGATCTGTTGGCGCCACTGTGAACAGCGGGTGAGAGGGTAGCGGGTTGATCAAAGCATGATAAGAAAGTACGTACAGAGACTGGTGTCAACGAGTTTCCACTTATTGCTTTCCTGAAAACCCTTGAACTTTTGAAAGGTTATCGAGTACTCAGAATGAACCAAAATGAAACTGACCATGTATATGTTATGCTCAGTCTTCATGACGGTGACACTAGACGGTGACATCCAGCTTTACCCAATACCGCCCCTATACACTGGTGCCTTGCTGGTCACTAATGGGTGCTGCCCGTGTGCCAAGTCTACACTATGATGTATGTCCATGCTGATATAATATAAACATTGTTGACTGTGTGCAGGTGCACGCTGATATAATAGATACATTGTTGACTGTGTGCAGGTGCACGCTGATATAATGGAAACATTGTTGACTGTGTGCAAGTCAGGCTGATATAATAGAAACATTGTTGACTGTGTGCAGGTGCATGCTGATATAATAGAAACATTGTTGACTGTGTGCAAGTCAGGCTGATATAATAGAAACATTGTTGACTGTGTGCAGGTGCACGCTGATATAATAGAAACATTGTTGACTGTGTGCAAGTCAGGCTGATATAATAGAAACATTGTTGACTGTGTGCATGTCAGGCTGACGTAGTAGGGACATTGTTGACTGTGTGCAGGTGCACGTTGATATAATAGAAACAGTGTTGACTGTGTGCAGGTGCACGCTGATATAATAGAAACATTGTCGACTGTGTGCAGGTTACACTGATGTAGTAGGAACATTGTTGACTGTGTGCAGGTTACACTGATGTAGTAGGAACATTGTTGACCGTGTGCAGGTTACACTGATATAGTAGGAACATTGTTGCCTGTGTGCAGGTCAGGCTGTTGTAGTAGGAACATTGTTGACTGTGTGCAGGTCAGGCTGATGTAGTAGGAACATTGTTGACTGTGTGCAGGTTACACTGATGTAATAGAAACATTGTTGACTGTGTGCAGGTCAGGGTGATGTAGTAGGGACATTGTCGACTGTGTGCAGGTCAGGCTGATGTAGTAGGAACATTGTTGACTGTGTGCAGGTCAGGCTGATGTAGTAGGAACATTGTCGACTGTGTGCAGGTCAGGGTGATGTAGTAGGAACATTGTTGACAGTGTGCAGGTCAGGCCGATGTAGTAGGGATATTGTCGACTGTGTGCAGGTCAGGCTGATGTAGTAGGAACATTGTTGACTGTGTGCAGATCAGGGTGATGTAGTAGGGTCATTGTCGACTGTGTGCAGGTCAGACTGATGTAGTAGGAACATTGTTGACTGTGTGCAGGTCAGGGTGATGTAGTAGGGTCATTGTCGACTGTGTGCAAGTCAGGCTGATGTAGTAGGAACATTGTTGACTGTGTGCAGGTCAGGCTGATGTAGTAGGAACATTGTCGACTGTGTGCAGGTCAGGCTGATGTAGTAGGAACATTGTTGACTGTGTGCAGGTCAGGCTGATGTAGTAGGAACATTGTTGACTGTGTGCAGGTCAGGCTGATGTAGTAGGAACATTGTCGACTGTGTGCAGGTGCACGTTGATATAATAGAAACAGTGTTGACTGTGTGCAGGTGCACGCTGATATAATAGAAACATTGTTGACTGTGTGCAGGTCAGGCTGATGTAGTAGGAACATTGTTGACTGTGTGCAGGTTAGGCTGATGTAGTAGGAACATTGTTGACTGTGTGCAGGTTACACTGATGTAATAGAAACATTGTTGACTGTGTGCAGGTCAGGGTGATGTAGTAGGGACATTGTCGACTGTGTGCAGGTCAGGCTGATGTAGTAGGAACATTGTTGACTGTGTGCAGGTCAGGCTGATGTAGTAGGAACATTGTTGACTGTGTGCAGGTCAGGCTGATGTAGTAGGAACATTGTTGACTGTGTGCAGGTCAGGCCGATGTAGTAGGGATATTGTCGACTGTGTGCAGGTCAGGCTGATGTAGTAGGAACATTGTTGACTGTGTGCAGATCAGGGTGATGTAGTAGGGTCATTGTCGACTGTGTGCAGGTCAGACTGATGTAGTAGGAACATTGTTGACTGTGTGCAGGTCAGGCTGATGTAGTAGGGACATTGTTGACTGTGTGCAGGTCAGGCTGATGTAGTAGGAACATTGTTGACTGTGTGCAGGTCAGGCTGATGTAGTAGGAACATTGTTGACTGTGTGCAGGTCAGGGTGATGTAGTAGGGACATTGTCGACTGTGTGCAGGTCAGGCTGATGTAGTAGGAACATTGTTGACTGTGTGCAGGTCAGGCTGATGTAGTAGGGACATTGTCGAATGTGTGCAGGTCAGGCTGATGTAGTAGGGACATTGTTGACTGTGTGCAGATCAGGGTGATGTAGTAGGGTCATTGTCGACTGTGTGCAGGTCAGACTGATGTAGTAGGAACATTGTTGACTGTGTGCAGGTTACACTGATGTAGTAGGAACATTGTTGACCGTGTGCAGGTTACACTGATATAGTAGGAACATTGTTGCCTGTGTGCAGGTCAGGCTGATGTAGTAGGAACATTGTTGGTTGTGTGCAGGTCAGGCTGATGTAGTAGGAACATTGTTGACTGTGTGCAGGTCAGGCTGATGTAGTAGGAACATTGTTTACTGTGTGCAGGTCAGGCTGATGTAGTAGGAACATTGTTGACTGTGTGCAGGTCAGGGTGATGTAGTAGGAACATTGTTTACTGTGTGCAGGTCAGGCTGATGTAGTAGGAACATTGTTGACTGTGTGCAGGTTACCCTGATGTAGTAGGGACATTGTTGCCTGTGTGCAGGTCAGGCTGATGTAGTAGGAACATTGTCGACTGTGTGCAGGTCAGGCTGATGTAGTAGGAACATTGTTGACTGTGTGCAGGTTACACTGATGTAATAGAAACGTTGTTGACTGTGTGCAGGTCAGGCTGATGTAGTAGGAACATTGTCGACTGTGTGCAGGTCAGGCTGATGTAGTAGGGACATTGTCGAATGTGTGCAGGTCAGGCTGATGTAGTAGGGACATTGTCGACTGTGTGCAGGTCAGGCTGATGTAGTAGGAACATTGTTGACTGTGTTCATGTCTGATTTGGTGAGAAGTTTCATTCATGTAGAGATGTTGTTATTGACATCGTCCACAGACACAGCGACCACTGAACGTGACTACGATGGGATATCGCATGAACCCTCTCATTGCCAAACAGGTATTGCTGAGAACAAAATTGATGTGGTGAAGGTGTTCGTGATAGAACAAAAATAATTATTGTCCATAACTGACCAGGAGTTTTATTTGCAGGAAATATCATGTACATGTCGGGTTTTTTCTGGTTTCCCATGCAAAGATGCACTTTACCATAAATAAATATTTTGTTTCAGTCCCGAGCCGTACAGGTGGTTTTGTCCATATAACCGACTCAGGAGTCCCAAGAGTTCTAAGGGAGGCAACTCTCCCGCACAAACGCAAAAGCGCATACATTAGATTTCGAACAGAAAATATGTCTACAGTTGACCAATGTCTAAAATGAGCAACATATTATTGACAAATAAAGAGAGAAGTAACTGTCAGCTTACTTCAAGTATAGTCGTCTTGTTATCAAACTCAATTATCAATCAAAGATTAATCAAAGGTCAATCAAAGATTACCACTGAACCAGATGTAGCATATTAGTCCCAAGAACGTAAAGGCTTATTGGGCTTCGTTCGTTTATCAGCACCATGGATTATTTCACAGCTTTCCTCCATAGTTCATTGAATCAATCACCTACACAAAAGACCAGCTTCTCTGCC